GCGAAACGAAAAGTACGAGCATAATGCTCATCGAGTTCTGGAAAATTGATCGCGACGTGCTCAAGCATATTTTAATGCCGGTGGTGTGGTAGAACTTTTCAACAACTAATTTAAAAAAAACATTCTTTTGTACCTACCAGTGAGTTGCTAAATCTATTGTTAAATACTCCGAGATTTATGGTAAGTCGATATTTTATTAACTTTAAATATATTTTTCTCTTAAACAAAACTGACAAGGGATCTTAACGAAAAACTGTTTACTCGTATTTCAGAATATTTATTATACGTAAAAAAGTTTTGCCATGTTGTCACATATCAGAGAAATTACTAATATTTCAAAATTGTGGTAGTGTTGGCTACAAGAAAATTTGGGATTCTTTGAAAGATTTTATTTTTAAACAACACTCGGTGAACAAGAAATTAAAAGAATCGGTATCACGTCGCATAACCTCAAATTGCATCAATATCTTTTTGTAACGCTTCACAGTCTCTAACGGTTTTTATACTTTGAAACAATTTAATATCGTCAACAACAAAAGTAATAATTGTAGTATTGTATATCAGAAGGTAGATCGTGTATAAATAAAATAAATAGCAATGGGCCCAAGCTGGATCCCTGTGGTACTTCAAAATTTGCTTCGTATAGTTAAAGGTAAATATATATTTTTCTCTTTCGGTAAAACAAATGGAATCTTATAAAAATACGTTTAACGGCAACCCAGGGACGGACCTAATTAGTTGTATATTACGCTTTAAAGAGAAAATGTTATACGTATTTAAATATCACATTATTCGATTATTTAATAAATATCATTAGTTTTAAAAGCAACACTTACGAAATTGATTTGAAATAAATATTCATGACTTGTAATAAAAATTTCTATGAAACTATAATATTTAATCTACTATTTTATTTAGTTTAAGACTCTTTTAGTCTCAAGGGAATAGTAACGCCATTTTCCAATAGATTCTGACTTTAGACCCTCTGGTTGACTATTGCTATGGACTGCTTCTTTCGCTTGCTACTTTGAGACTGCTACTGTACATGGCTGCTGTACACGGCTGCTGTACACGGCTGCTACTGGTAAGTCCCCATTGACTGACTACTGGGAATGGCCTCTTTCTTTGAACCTTAGTCCATTTTATATAAAATATCTTTGGTTCCCTTTTTCTCACTTGGATTCATATTCTTCCTGCTGTGGATTTGAGTCCCACAGACTCAAAATGGACCCAACATCATGTCAAGCTCCCTTGGCGATGAAAGCTTGGTAGTACTGGTTGGCCCTTGCTTTTTGAATTACATTATTTTCATTACTTTCAAAGGGCCTTCTAAACGCCATTTTTTAAAAACCAAAATTTCTAACATTAATATGAATACAACACTGGATAAACAAACATTGTCCATCTGTGATCAGTCAACACGGCGATGACACATAGAAGCGTGCCGAATAACCAATTAAAACATAAGTTGAACAAAATCACAGAATTACTATTGAGATATCCCAGTCCACGTGTGTGGGCATTTTTTAAGGGCTATCGTGGGCTACAGCAAATAGAAATTTGAGAATGGTTCGATTCAACCAATAGGAGACGCTAAAATTAAGCTGTTATAACTAATCGAGCCGACAGATTCTTGTCGTACAGCGATGCCAGGCATAAAATATTTATTTGATACTAGCTTCCAGCATATTTGCTCGAAGGGTACTATGCGCTAAACGTACACAGTCGTTTAGCTGTAATAGAATTGAACGTGTCACTTTATTTTTGTAATTTGACAACTGTGTTTTCTAAGCTGTGAATTATATATAGATATTTTAATAATACTGATATTTAATTGTGAAATAGTAAAATTTATTTGTGGCGTCTACTTTACGTAAAGAAGTTTTGCCATGTTGTCACATATCACAGAAATTCCTAATATTTTAAAATGTAATATCTCTAAAACTATTCTGTGAGGACCCATAATATATTACACTTTTTACATTAAATGCTTTAAATTTTCTTGTATTTGAATATTTGTAGTAAAATTTTAATTTGTTTTTGTTACTTCACGTATAAATTGCATCAATATCTTTTTGTAACGCTACACAGTTTATAACGGTTTTTATGCTTTGAAACTACAAAATTAATATTTGTAGTATTATAAATAAGAAGGGAGATCGTGTATAAATAAAATAAATAGTAATGGACCCAAGTTGGATTCCTATGGTACTCCAGATTTTATTTCGTACTTACCTGTTATATTTCTATAGTCTTATAATTATTATGAAATCATACCGGCACGCAGTGTGCTGCATATGAAATAGTAGCTGCAGTGAACGTAGGACCGAGGCCAAAGTTCGAGAAAAGTAGATTAGGTAACTGTCGGGCTGGTTTCGGCGGTTTCCAGGGAATAAGCTTTCAAGGTACGTAATTTGTTCTGCGCTATTTTCCCTACTAAGTAAATACCTAATATACATCTCGATAAATGCGAGTTTAGTGTCAAGAGCCATTTTTGTGTAAATACGACGGTTTGGGAAAGTTTATTTAATAAATCTTTCTTGGTGGCTATGCGAGACGGATATTGTTTGTGAAATGTTTTGGAGAACGGTTTAATTTGTTGTCAGGTGCTTTGCGTTGGTTGGTCCGAAGAATCTGAAAATTTACGACGAATATACAGTTACAGTATGACTTATTATGATGTTTTCGTATATGTTAGAATCGGTAGATTTTGTTCAAATTAAAGAAAACCTCGACTAATCACAACCTTTATATTCATAATCACAATAATTATTAAATTAGTAACGAACACTGTATCATTTATATTCAGAAATCAAGACCCAAAGATGTTGAATGACGCTTCTCGAATACCCCTTTCCCTCCCTTTTAACGTAATCTCTAGTTATTCTATCTAGTTGTATAATGTGTTTGAGCTCAATTGATTGGGCGTGGGTTAGGTTATTAAATAACTCATACAACTTTGAAAAAGAAGTTGAGCACCACTATATGTAAAAAGCTTACTATACTTGACTTTATATTAGTAATAAAAATAAAGAAAATCACTAACCACTAACAAATTATATTTAAACCATGCTTTAGATAAGGTAGTAGCAAATTCTAATTCACATAGTTTTACTAAATTCAAATTTAAGATGATTTAACTTCTTTAAAGGGATTCGGGATCCTTATTCGTAATTCTGCAACGTGAATGATCTTGTGATATTTGGTATTTTAACTTAAACTCGAAACTGACTAGTTCTTCTAGAGATGAATCAAACCACGGTCTTCAGATTGTACCAAAACCAAAACAAACTTCTTCTAGGTATAAAAACCATAAAACATCTTAATAGGAATTCAAAAACGTCTTAAGAGGAATTCAAAACCGTCTTAAGAGGAATTCAAAACCATCTAGATATAGCCATGTTAAAAAAGGTTTAAAATGTTAAGACAGGAAATAGGAAATTGACACAGGATTTAGATAAAATGCTTTAACTATTAAATGAACAATTTAAAACTATTAAATGAATAATTTCACAAAGACAAAAATTAATATGAAAAGGAAAAATCGTATTTAATACATTAAACATAGTAAAGCATAATATCTTATTCCAAAAAAATAATATATAAATTATTCATGTGTATTACTCATTGTTGATAGGATTTTAGGTTGTGTTCGGAACTTGACAATTTAATTAAGAAATCCTTGTACAAAATATATATTTTCAACAATGTATCATTATTAAAGCTTATAAAATCAGATGGCCAATAAGAATATTAAAAATCATTTAATATATAGGATGAGTAAGATAATTTAAAATGAATGTGATCTATTTGATATATTCAAATCAAATGAAATACGATTTTTTGACATAAGGCATAAATGACATTTAAGAGGTGAAAGGTGGTTGTGTCGAAATAACGGTTCCAACTGTTACACCCTTTTTATAACCGTTCTTCTTTTTCTTCTTTTTCGTCTTCTTTTCTTCATGCGACTTTTTTAAATAGCTGTTCAGCGTAGGATCATGAATTATTCAAACGATTATTCATCAAAGTCGATGCTCACATATACATATTATAATCAATATTTGAAATTATTATTATTATTATTACCTTTTAGAATTTTATTAAAATTTTGTTGAGCGCCACTGTCCATAACTTTTTCTACACCCGTATTATAATTATGCACTTATATGCCCATAATCCGTTTCATAATGATACCCATTATGATACAGATTTTTCATTACGATACAGATTTTTAATCAATAGAAACCTACAATTTTTCAATCAAGCATGCTGTTTGACGTTTGTCCTAGGTTCCTATGTAATTATTTTAGTTGTCAAAACGTATTAAATTTTCGTAGGTAGCTAAACTTCGATAATTATAATATTAAAATGTCTGATATTAGCGATATAGAAGACTCCTCCACACATATCGGAGAAAGCAGAAAATACAGTACAAAATATTTTACCGCAAAAATCTAGGGAAATACCAATACCTGAAGTAATACCATTAATTACAATTTTGTAGAATTTTTTATAGAAATACGAGTAATTACTGTTATTGTGTTCAATACCAATATAAATATAATATTTATAGGTCTTGATTATTTATCGGGTGTAGAAAAAATAGCGTATGCAACTCTCATGTAATGGTTATTAAAACACTCGCATAAACCATACGAAACTCGCCTTTGGCTCGTTTCGTATCCCGGTTAATGCTCGTGTATTAATAACCATCATTACATGATCGTTGCATAATATACTATTTATTCTCAATTAAGTATTTTTTTTTATAATTTATTATATTCTTGGCCACAAGTTTGACTCGATTCCTAGGGTAGTGAGTTCCAATATTTTATAACCTTTTATTTATTTATTTATTTTTTTAATAAGCTATTTTACCTGTATTAAATAAAACAAATTAACAAAGTTAAATTTTATTGAATAATGAGCTAATAAAATATACTATTCTTCAAAAAAAACCAAAACCATTTTTGTTCCAAAAATATACAATAAAAAAAAATATTGTTACATTAATACCACTCACAAAAGCTGCCCCTTATGTATCATTAAAATTCCTCCCGCGGTATATCAGTCAGAGGTCGGCGTCAAGGAGAATTTACACGCCTTCTTGCGCCTGTCTGTACTCAAAAACGCTGCCACGTTCCACAAACCTTCTCTTATCCGACGTGCTCCCTTGGGAAGGATCCTCCGGGATCTGTGACGTTCCTTCCTTACCGTATCCTCCACCTCCAGGTGTGTGTAGTTGAAAAACGTCCTGGAACAAACAGATTTACTTATATGAAACTTTGTTTCTATTTCGAAATGGGAATTTATACGGGTTGACAGTGACGTATCGGTGGGTAGGCCAAAAGATTTTAAATTGTGGGTCATTACCTGATAATATTTTTGAAAAAATCTAATTTCGGACACGCTGTATATGTCGTTCCTTTTGAATGAAAAATGATTTGAAAATCTGTTTCAAAATACAATAATGCCTTGAAAATATTTCAAAATCTACACATAGTCTATTACTTCAAATTTTAATTATTATTTAAAAAAATCTCTAGAATGAATTTTTTTTCTTTGGCTCGAAGACTGTACTATATATTTTTTTTAAATTTACAGATCGTGTTGTTTTATTAACCATTTTGTAATTTACTTTATTCTCTATTTATAATTCGATTTGGTAACATCGCAAAAATATCGCTATTCAAGATACATCCAAGTGAGTAGATTAAGAAATGTTAGTTCTCTCACAGAATAATGTAAGTTATTCTGTGGTTCTATTTCTATTTGTAGCAGCACCGACTGGACTAATATTTTTGATGCCAAACTAAAAATATTCATTTAATAAAATTGGCATTAGTGACTTTTTACATTTTTTAACGTTTAGAAGAAATCTTAAGTTCTGAATAAAACAATAAACATTTATAATTTTGATAACAGTAGAAGTAACAACGTGTTTCAGTAGCTCTTAACTTTTCCATCAATGTGTACTTGGTTTAAGCTCGTTTTTTATAGTGATTTTCATATCAATTTAAAGCATTTACTGTAAGTCACACATTTATGTACATATTGTCATCTAATATCACCTGTGTAATTTACTGTTAGTAAAATTGTTTGCACACAATAATTTTTTTTGGGCCTATTCTTATCTACATAAACTGATAGCCAAAACAAAAAGGTTTCCGAAAAAAACGTTTTCCATTATATTGCGTCCAGTGGCAGGATTATTTTAAATAATTAATGAAAATTATGATGGTTTGCTGTAAGTGTGAAGACCCACTCAGTAAGGATGCTGCTACATTGATGTGTGATAGCTGTGACCGAGTTGTCCACAGAGAATGCTCTGATCTCAACGCTTCTGAACTAAAAGTCATGGACTTGAAGGGTAAAAGACTTCTTAGATTTTATTTCGAGGAATGACAGTCTGGTTTGAGGCTGATTCCTTCTCCGATTGCGAAAATTGACAAATTGGAAACGGAATTAAAGTCTCTACTTAATAAACCTCATGGAGTCGCGGTATCTGAAGAAAGTATCATCAAGGAATTAAACGATCGCCAAAAAAGAGCAAGCAATATCATGATTTATAATCTTCCTGAAAATAATAATCCACATAAAAGTGATACTGATGAAATCAAGGACATAATAAAAGAAGTTACAACTGGAAATCGCGTTATGGAAATTATTGGAGTCACAAGATTGGGAAAAAATAATCGCGATGGAGCACGACCTTTAAAAGTAATTTTGAATAACTCTGATGAAGCTATGATAGTGATTAGGAATAAGAAGAAAATCAACAAAAGTAGAAAGATTTACATTGATTTGTATATGACTCTTTTGCAGGCCAACATGATGTGTGTGTGCAGTGGTTGACTGGCATCGGGATTAACCCATTTGCCACAGGCCAACATGATAAAACTAAAGGATGAACTAAAGATTAGAAAAGACAATGGAGAAAATGTTTCAATTACATATTTTGTATATTCTCCAAGGATTGTCATCAGCAATTTAAACTAAACAAGCCCAACAGTCTACAGTTAACATGTATATACCAGACTAGAGGTCTTAGTACCAAGGTTGATGAATTTTACTCGTATGTATGTGATAGTGAGTGTGACATTATAACTATAAGTGAAACCTGGATTCAACCTGCAGTCAAATACTCAGAACTTTTTTTGGAGGAGTACCAAGTATTTAGAAAGGATGATGATCTTAACAGAACTGGATCATCAACTGGTGGTGGAGTCTTATTGGCTTTTAAAAATAACATCTCGTGTGTTAAAATTGATACAACTTTCTTTGATCCAAATTTTGTAAATTTTGATTTAATCATTTGCAAATGTCTACTCGCACATACTTCGTTTATGTCAATTTTGATATATGTTCCGCCCTCTGCTTCACTAGATATATTCGAGTCATTCTTTGAATGTCTAGAAGGGCTTGAAATGTTGCATAATGGAAAAAATTTAATTATAGGTGATTTTAATATTTCCGAGTACGTCAACCATTATCATGATAGAAGATACAGTGTTATTGAAAATTTTGTAAAGTTTTATGATTTAGTCCAATTTATTAACGTTAAAAATGATACGGGTCGCTTGTTGGATCTCGTTTTTACGTTATTGTCAGCGAAAATTCATATCATCCTTCATATATTCAGTAGTAATACTATAAGTACTTCAAAATAATCAGGTTATACATCGATAACTTGTTGCATAATTATAAAGAGTGTCAGTTTGACAGTTTAAATAATCCGACCGCGAAGCGGGAGGATTATTCTGTCAAACTGACACGATTTGTAATTATGCAGGAAGTTTGAGATGTATAACCGTATTTATTTTGAAGTACGTATTGTATTTGATACGATTATTTTTTTAGTAAATTAAGTAAATATCAACAATTTATTAATTTAAATACATATTGGTACAATGAAAATTACAATTATTAATTATTGATAAACGTCAAAATTTGACGGTCCTGTTAGTTAGTGTATTGTTGTCGATGTGGTACTACGGAAATGAAATTATTGTAAATATTTTTGATTGGTGGAGCTACTCTATGTATAATCAGGTATTATCGAAATTATACGAGGTAACTTAACTAAATTGAACGTTCTAATTGGTTAAAAGTTATACGAAAAAATAATCAAGTTAATAATCTTTTTAATGTTCCCAATGTATTTGACCCGAATTCAAAACGAAAAGCATATAACCTCAAGCGTGCCAATTATCCATTACTATTCGCTCCGTGCGAAGTCATGGAAAGGGAAGCAAAAGCGATACTAGCGCTAGCTGCGGATAATTCGTGCATTTTAGGGCGATATTTTGTAATTTTTGGCATATCAAATACACGTATACATTTTACTTTTTTCAAAAAAGTAGGTGAAAACAATACAGTAAGCAACCAGAGTTGCTGTGTTGAAAATTGTACAAATACTAGCAAAAAAAAAACAGTGAAACTTATATATAAAAAATTTCAGTAGCAAAGTAGAAATTAAATCAAAGAAATAAATGGATAGGTGTACAATAAGAAGAAAAATTACCTTTATTTTTGTAATAATAACAGTAATGCTGGAAATAGTAGACATCAGAAACTTGAAAGGTTTTAAATAAACAATAAATTATCATTTTACGATGTTCTTTAATATCCCTTTATTCTTAAATGTTCATTCAGCAAGGACTAGATTTCAAGATTTCTGCCTTTGATTATTATTATATGTGGCTGGAATACAATTTTGTAACTTACTGATGGGAAATCAGTTTTAATCATTCATTCTATGTTTTGTTTTCAACAAAAATGAAAATATAAATAACGATCCTTTTTTTATACATTTTAACTTCACGCTATTATTAAATGGTATTTTTTATTTTGACAGAATAATTCTTCAATGACAACTTATTAGACTTAGGCAACTTCTTATACATTTTCCAGTAAATACTGTTGCCTGCCTATATTTTATTATTCATTTTTATTGATTATACATAATTTTCTTTAATTTAAGAGATAAAAATATATTATAATAATAATAAATTAATGTTTTGCTTGTTTTACAAATCCATATACTTTTATTAAAACTAACATATATACTTTTTAATTACGAATTCTATTAAAAATTGCATTTGTCAGTATACGCAGAAATAGTCCATTAATACCAAAAAGGAATTGGCGCTGCTGTCGCGCACGGAGCGAATATGAAGCTCTCGTGAATATTAACTGGGATTATTTATTGATATACAAAGATGTAAACGATGCTTTACATCAGTTTTATATTACCTTGTACTCAATGTTTGACCAATTTCTTCCTACTTACAAGAATTACAAGCGTAAATTCCTCCATGGTTCGATTCCGTCATTATTAGAAATATTAAAAATAAAGAAAAATATCTTCAAATATATAAAAGAACAAATGATAGACGTTTCTTAGTACATTTTAAACTAATCCGATCGCAAGTCAATCAGCAAATAAAGTATGCTCATCAATATTTCATTAATAAAGTCCAGGGTAGTATAACAACTGATTCTTGCTTGTTCTGGTCATATATTAATTCAAAAAATAAAAGTTCACGTATTCCAGGCACTATGGTGCTTGAAGACGAATCATTTACGAATCCTCAAGAAATAATTGATAAGTTTAGTCAATTCTTTGAAAGTGTTTTTGTAACATTATCTGAGCCACAGCAGGACAGGGCTAGTTTATTTGAATCACAATTCTACGGTGATATCATTAAAATTGGCAATATCACCGATTCAGACACCGTACACAGTACACACACCGTACACAGTAAAATTAAGCAATAAAATGACCTCTGGCTCTGATGACATCCCCTTATTTTTTGTTAAAGACTGTATTTATGTACTAGCCTCTCCATTAAACATGATATTTAATTTAGCATTAAAATCAGAGAGCGGTGGAAAGAGGCAAGAATTATTCCTGTTTTTAAATCAGGTGATAAGATACAAATCAAAAACTATCGGCCTGTATCTATTCTGTCAAATCTAAAATCTTTGAGATTGTCATTTATAATCACATATATTCTTCAGTCCGCAACCTAATATCGCCTTCGCAGCATGGTTTCTTAAACAAAAAGTCTACAGAAAGTAATTTACTTGTAATAACTCAACACTTATCTAAAGCAGTTGATGCAGGTAGGAAGTAGACGTTATTTACACTGATTTCTCAAAGGCTTTTGACAGAATGGATCATGGGATATTGATTGATAAATTGAACCAATTTGGCTTTTCTCAGACCTTGATAAGCTTCTGTATGTCATA